CGTATATACATATATTTATTGAATTGCACCTGGCATATTGATGAAGAGTGCACAATGCAAATGCTACAATAAAATAATGAGAGCATGTTATAATTGTGTAAAAAAAAATATTTTATTAAGCAGACCTCTATTTTCTGTCCATTGTACCTTTAAATAAATCTATACCCTTAAATTTGTAAGCCTAGAAGTGTAGAGTGGACCTGAATTTTGTAGCAATATCAGTGATTCCAGTTGGCAGTGTTCCCAGTCTGTTGCTATAGTAACCTGCATGATTTCACTAACAGAATAAAACCATGAGATGAATATACAGCCCAATACCTCTGCACATGTTATGCCCCTTTCATCTCCCTGCACAACATGTTAGACTTGTGAGTTTAGCTGATGGTTAAAATCTGAAAAGAATACTTTGTGCAGTGGGGTCTTATTTAACAAAGTCACAGCTGTAAATTGTGATTTAGGGTTTTGCAAACATCTAATTTGTAATAAAAATAGTTCAAAGTACAGTAAAATGTGAATTTATTTAACACAGAAATGTTTAGAATAAAAAATAGCGACCTGACCATTTGTGAGCTGGTGAACTTGCTTACATTGGTAATTTGCTTGCGCTATCTGTTCAAATTTGGACATTTTAGTACCTAATGCTATAATGATTTGCATATTTTGGTCATAGGACATTCATTCAAACCATGGAATGGGTATGAGCGGAACTGGGTAAGGAAGGTGAGTGAAATGTGTCAATTATACTCAATTCTTCAAGATTGCTTTACAAAATCTACACTTAAATCAGTAATGCTGTATTTATTTCATTCATGCAATCACGTGCAAAAAAAATTCCATTATTTTTTTTAATTCTTCTGCATGGGATCAGTTGTTCAGTGTGAACACAGCGTTTTGCATTTTCATTGGCCTGTGTGTTCAACGTCTTTATGTCAGCGATATACCAGTAGGGTTCTAACTCAGTGTTAAGACCCAAATGTTATTGTTAACAAAACATTCAGGTGGAGATGCTGGTGTAACTTTAACCATAGCAGTCCACGGTGCTGCTATGGGACCTGAGGGTGGGAGAGAGGCCCTATTAAGGAGACTGTTGAATCATAGTACACAAGGTGCACAAGGTCATTGAATGTAAATTGCGTGCATATTTCCTCAAACCAAGATAGCTAGCTATGGTGTACAGCTAGTGAATGGGTATAGGCGGCTGTAAGCGGATTTACTCATGCATATGTTCGGGCATGCAACCCTAAACTAAGCTAGGCAATTTTTTTATGTATTCATATTTTCATATATTTTTTACTGCTAACATTTTGGGGTGCTTATAAAGCAATGCTATACTTGAACCTGGATGTAGGAAGAAAGGGACTCTAGAGGTTCTCTGATTCTCAGTGGCAACAATTCCTAAAGATTTGTTCATTTTTTTATTGATGTTTGTATATATTCGGCATTCATGCTATGCTGATATGTGATATTTTTAGAATAGCTTTTGATGAGGAATGACTAATACATTAACTATTTCTTATTCCTCCAGTGTCAAACTTTAAATTGTTTGCATTTATTTGCAGGGAGTTCTTGCTTCAAGTAACCTGCTGGTGCTGATTCCTTTTCTGCACTAATAATTCCTGAGGGACAAGGCCTTATCCGCTTGTAGTGAAGAGCTTTTGGCAACCATTGTGTGAACAGCATGTGTACTTCCTGCAGGTTACAACTGTAGCCTTTTCAGGAGCTTTAGGTTTTCACGTTCTGTACTAAATGGATGAGAAATGTGTCACAGGTGCATGGTAAAGTGCCCTTGTACAGATGCCCCAAGAATAACTTGTATATTTGCTACAGTAAATACAATATTCAAGATCTTTCTCCTGAAAACAACTTCTACTTTACATGGATTGTGGAAAGACAACATATGGTTAGGGATGCAGGAGGTAAGGGAGATTTTAAGCAGTCAAGAAGTAAATAGGTCAGAAATAGGCATGTGGCTGCCAGTTTACTTAAGAAGAGCCAGGGGGCGATGAGAAGAAAATAAGGGGGCAGACAATAGCAAAAGACTGTGATGTGCAGGGCCGGTTCAGGGGGTAGGCAGAAGATGCTACCTTGGGCACTTTAGAACTAGAATGGTGCAAAAAAAGGGCAGGGCCTGCAACCTATGCTGTTGAAGAAGTTCACAGCTCATGGGGGTACACTTTTTGTGTTAGGTTTTAAAGGACCTGTGCCCAACACTGGTGACATGTTACAGAAACTCAGCTCGGTTTTTAAAGCTAAATTGAAGTTAATATTTTTTATTAAAACTTACATTGGTCCAGCTCGGTTACATCTAATTCTTTATATTCTACAAATTCACTGTAGTAGCCTGTTCTACATACAATCACTACTGGTCTCTTGTGGGTGTTCCTCGAGCGACTTGCATCATGAACACATGGAGCCGCTTGTTCAGCACCTCCACCATTCAAAGAGCGTCTTGTAACCTTCACTGATTGGAAGAGGAGGGGCAGATGATGTCACAACTTCTGCATCGTACAGTCAGAGAATGCCTTGTATTCATTAAACAAAATACAAGACCTTCTCTGAATGGCGGAGATGCTAAGCTAGCGACTCCCCGTTTTCATTTTACAGACAGAAACTTGCTTGAGCGGCACCTGGAAGAGACCAGCACTGACTATATGTGGCACAGGCTACTACAGTGAACTTCTGCATCCCCAGCGGCACCTTGCATGGGACATATGGGTTCTATATAGCTAAGCTGAAGCAATACAAGTTTTTCAAAAAGATAATTCCTGGAGTTCAACTTTAGTTAGGAATATATTGGGTCCCTGAAGATTCATGTTTTCTGGGTTTTTCCTCAAACTTCTGGATTGCTAATTGAGGATTTAACCATCAGTTGTGGTGTTTCCTTTGCTCTGTATATTTCTAAAAACAATTTTAATATAAGTCTACAGATTTTTATATTTCACAATATTTTTCTGTTTCAATCAATCTTTTAGATAGTAGAGGTACTTACATGCCCAAAAGGATCAAGATGGTTGTTAGTGAGCTTTAGCTTCTGGAAAGAAACCAGTTGCCTCATCCAATGTGCACCAGTGGCAGGAGAGTCTGGATGAACATACAAACGCCCAGGCATTGCCGGCTCAGCCTTACCAGTTACCGACCTACATTACAAAAAGAAAGCATGAAATCCAATATGATATGATTCTTTTTTCTTCATCCAAAGACAGACAAGTTAAGTAGATATTGTCTGAAGGAATATTGAGAATGCAGGGATTGAGGCGTGAAGGGTTAGATCTTCTCCAATGGGAACAAAAACAAAACCACATTTTTGGTAGAACGGGGGAAAGGTTAGATCTTCTGACAATGTTTGAATTCCTGACTGTGCCTTCTTTTCCCACTGACATCTGCTCCCATCTTTTTTCTAGTGTCTCAGGGACAGGAAGTGAGGGAAAACCTCCCTGAGAGGGTCAGAGGGAGAAAAAAAATGACAGAAATTTAACTCTTCCCTACTCTATCCTAAACAAAAAATATGTATATAGCTAAATATAGACTTTAGAGGAAATCTGTTATGAGAGAAATAAGTAGGCTGTTATTGCTCACCTCTGATGAAAATATTACATGCCTGGCTGTTTTATGATCCTTTGGCTTCATTATTAGTTTTTGTTGTGCTGACTCAAACGGATAGTTCACACATTCTGAAATTACTTGCTGCATACTTACTTTAAAGTACAGTAGCCAGATAGTTGGCACGACAGGATTTTTTTAAAAAGGTTTTGAATTTTTTTGTTATTGTGCTCTACAACAATGAGAGGACAAAGGGAGCAAAAAATTGACATTTTTAAATACAAATGGAAAAATAAATAAATCTGCAAAAGTAATTAGCTAATGAAGGATAGGAAAAAGGGGTGAAGAAGAAATAATTTGTGTTAACAAAGTGTTAATAAGAGGTTAAATAAGAATAACTTTTGCTGGAGCGGACATATGTGCAGCTCAAATGATATTTTTTGATTAGCATGAAAGCACTAACCAAAATAGATGGTAAGAATATTGTTACCATGTCTTAATGAATGAAGCCTGCACATGGTGTAATCAAAATACACTCTAACAATATTGTTAGGCTTCTTTTATGAATGAAGCCTGCATCTGATGTATCATATGGTTGATAACTGGTGTCAAGAATGTTTGTAAGATAGTCTTTTAGGTTAATTCACTAAAAGAATACAGTCTCCAAGTTTACCTGTGTTCACTTTGAATGGCTAACCCTATGCAAAAAAAAATGTGCATGCTTAGACTTTTACAGTGAATAGGGCTTATATATATATATATATATAG